TTGTCGCTCGTGAACCTCAGCGCCTCGACGACTCTTTGCGACCGTATCGAGCTGCTCCGCTGCAAGCTGTAGCGGATTCAGCGGAATATACCCTAGATCCGCCTCGAACGGTGCGAGCTTAGTACTGGAGTTCACCGTTGAGTTGATAGCAAACTCAGCGTTCGCTGAGTGAATGTCCCAGTCGTCTTGACGTGGACTGACGAAGCATCGAAGATACTCTTCGAGCGTTCGATTCATTCGCTCAGTTTGTCCGTCGCCTTGGGCCCGGTGTGCTACTGTCATGCTGAGTGACGTGTCGATAGACTTGAAGACGTGTTGCCAAAACGCAGACACGAATTTTCTATCTCGGTCGGATACAATATTCGTCGGCATACCGTGAAGTTTCCAAATGTTGTCGATGAAGAGACGGGCAACTCCTTCGGCTGTTACCTTTTTGTTGTCGGCACAAAGTGGCATCTCTTGGTCAGTCGATCGACGACGACCCAAATCGAATCAACGTCACGCTTCGTTCTAGGCAAATCCGTTATGAAGTCCATGGAGATCGAGCTCCAGCGCTCATCGGGAATACTCAATGGTTCGAGTAAGCCAGGAGGCTTTGTCAGCCTTGGCTTGTTTCGTCGACATGGTTCGCAGTCAGCGATGAACGTTTGGATCGACTTGAGCATCTTGGACCAGTACCAGCGTCGTGCTAACGTCAAGTACGTTCGCTCGGCACCAGGATGGCCACTGTAGTTGGTGTCATGACTCTCCTTGATTATCGATTGTCTCAACTTCACATCGTTGGGAACAGCGAATCGAGGATGGTCATCCACCGGAGACTGGTACCACAGCAAGCCGTTTGCCTCCGAATAGTATCGGTATAGCTTGTGGTGCTGGTGTTTTTCCTTCGACTTTGAGGTGCTTGTACGTCGCTGGATTGCTGCCCGGATTGTCTGGACATCTCGATCTTTAACGTAAGCATCCTTGATCCTCTTCAGCAGCTCGGAATCTGTAGACACTTGACTAAGAGCAAGACTGAAGGAAGTGTCGTTGAAGCTGGACACACTCAGGTCATGGAAATACTTCTTATCTGGCTGCAAGTCAGGTCTACGACTCAATGCATCCGCGATACCGTTCTTCGCACCTGGAAGATACGAGAACGTGGGTTGGTACTCAGCTAGAATGTCGTACCACCTAGCCAATCGGCGGTTCGCCATCTTCTGTGTGAACAACCCTTCGAGACTTTTGTGATCCGTCTCGACGATCGGTGGTTTGTCCAAGCAGTAAATTCGAAAAGCTGCTAGCGCGTGTACGATAGCAAGTAGCTCCTGCTGCTGTGTTGGATAGTTGAGCTCCGCGGATTTCATCTTTCGACTGGTATACGCAATGGGTCGCTCAACTCCGTCCACGACTTGGAATAATACTCCACCAACAGCGAATTTGCTTGCATCAGTGCGCAGATGCATGGACTGGCTGAAGTTAGGGAGGTGCAACACTGGAGGATTACACAGCCGCCTCTTCAGCTCCTTGAAATTTTTTTCAACTGCTCATCATTGAATTGGATCTTCGCGTTCCTCTTGTTCTTCTTCTTCAAGAGAGTGAACATTGTTGCAGTAAATGCTGCGTAGTCTGGACAAAATCGTTTGTCGTAACCAGTCAACCCAAGGAAGCTGTGAAGTTCCTCTTGTGTTCGTGGTACTGGCCAGTCCTTGATGGTTTGTACCTTGTCCGGATCCATCCGTACACCGTTGCGTCCTACGAAGTCCCCGAGACACGGAATCTCGTCGGCACAGAAGACACACTTGGCAAGCTTAACGTACAGCTTGTTGTCACGCAGGATATTTAATGTCTTGCGCAACGCCTTCAAGTGGTCGTCGATGCTCTGAGACTTCGTGAAAACGTAGATGTCATCATAAAACGATTTGGTGTTTTCCAAACCTCGGAACAGCTTTGACGTTGAACGATGCATCGTCGCTGGCGCATTACAGACTCCCATGGGCAGAACAAGATACTCCCAGAGTCCATTTGGCGCTTGAAATGCTGTGAACTTGATATCCTCTTCACGCATACGTACTTGATAGTACGCGGACACATCAAATCCATAGTGGAAAACCAGTACGCTCCGGACATCGCGTCAAGAATGTCCTCCTTCCTCGTCATTGGGATACTTTGACGTACAGTGTTGGAGTTCAAGTACCGGTAGTCGTGTACAATTCTCCAGCCAACTGGTTTTCGTACACAGAAGGTTGGAGCAGCATGTGGGCTGATGCTTGGACGGATGAGCTTCTTCTTCACCATTTCTACCACCCAACGCACAATCTCGCGTTGCTGCTCTGGCGATTGACGCCATTGTTGCCGATACATTGCAAGATTCGGATCTTCCACGTCAATCCTATGCTCAATCTCGCGTTTCTCGGGTAAACCTTCTGGGAGCTCAAGACGGAACACATTGTCCATGTACTCCATGAGTAACTGGTACGCGGGATTCCCCTTGAAGCTATCCCAGTCCGTATCCAGATACCGTTGTGCTTTCGCACTTCCGACGTTGTCGGGTTGATCTTGCCGTTGCAGTGAGCGAGCAACTTGCTTGATCGTCACGTTCGTCAGAACCAACATAAAGTCAAGTTCATCGATCGACTTGGTCTTGATTCTCAGGAACTTTCGTAGTTTCTTGCGAGTGATGAACTTTGTCTGGACACCAGCCTCGTCAACGACACCCATCGTGAACATATTTTCCACGACAGTGTCTCTTCCCCGCAGTACTGCTGCTATCTCCAGCCTCTCGTACAGTACCGCCGCGTTTCGACAATTCCAACTTGTCCTTCACCGCCGAACCCTTGCCGGCTGACGCGTCTCCTGGTTGCTCGCAAACAACTCTTGGGCTCTCTTTCTGCGTTGCGTCGCAAACAGTTTCAGCCGCGGACTTCACATCCGTTTCCAGCGCGGCACCTCGACAGGAATCGGGTCTTTTCGCCGATAGGCCTTTCGCCTCGACAGATCTCCGAAGCCCGGAGGCAATCACCGGTCCGCCTTCCTCGATCGGTCCACTGGTTTCTCCTGTTCGCTTCCAATGCAGAGTCTTCACTTGCGTTCCTTCGATACATCGACCTCTCCAGTCGATCTGCGGCTGCACATCCTCGAAGAATGGGATTCCAAGGATGCAGTCATATTCATCGGGTATGGCGTAGACGACAGCGATACACTTGTATGCCTCGCCCAACCCAGACACCAGGATTTCGAGGGGAAGTACCTCCAGTTCCGTCTCGACAATCTGGTTGTCTCCAAGTTTTACACGAATGTTCTTACCCATGAACTTCGTGGTCTTGAGTCGATGTTTCTCGACCCACTGTCTGGACACGTAGATTGTGGTTGCTCCACAGTCCAACAGCATCCTTTGGGTCGAAATGGTCGCGCCACTAACGATCATTTCCCCCTCTACGGAGAACAGTGGACGCGACTTGTAGACGAGAGGGTTTTCGCTCAGAACGTTAAGGCTGACATTCTCAATCTTAACTGATCCGGCTACGTTCTCTTCCACGACAGGACCCTCATTCACTGACGTGGCTGCCCGTTTCCCTGCTTCTTTTGCTCCTTCTTCCAAAGGAAGCAGTTGGTCTTGATGTGGCCAGGTTTCTTGCAGTGGAAACAGGTACGACTTTCGGCTCGCTTCGAGCTAGTCTTCGCCTTGAAACGCCCTTTACCACGAAACGTTTTTCCCTTGAGCGACTTGTCATGACTCGGCGCGTGCTCAGTGGACGGCTTCCGCTTGTCTTGGCGAGTGTGACGTTCGCGCGATCGTCGACGAAGTGTGTCACCTCATACTTGACGCAAGGTCCATTGCGTCACTCAGGGTCTCTGGGTTCTCGAGCTTGACATAGCTACGCGTGCGCGGCTTGAGACCGTTCGCGTAGTATAGTACTTGGTCAAGCACGCTCATTCCTTCAACTCTGAAGATCAAGGCTGAATACTCGCCATTGTAGGTCTCGATGTCCGCTGTCTGCTTGAGACGTTGAAGCTTCTCGCGCAGGACAGACTGGTAATTCGACGCTTCGTAGTGTTGGAGCACATGCTCACGGAAAATCCCCCACGTGTGCTCCTCCGCTCGAGTTGTCGACGACCAGTGCAGAAACCATCCGGATGCTGGCTTTTCCATTGCCGATCCGGCGATTCCAGGAAGACGCGCGCTCGTGTCTTCAATTGGAATGTTGTTGATGCGGCAGGCGTTCTCGATCTGGAACAGCCATTCGCGGACGTCTTCCCCCCTCTTGCCCGTGAACTTGGGCAGATGGCTCGGCACTTTCGTGCGGTCGGCCATCGCTTGGTTCAGCCGATCGATCTCGGCGCGTAGCTGGGCGATTGTTGGCATGGGCTCCTTCTGGTCAGGTTGCTGGGACCAACAAGTGATACCAGTATTTCTGGAAACGCTAGCTTGGGGGAGGGCGTTCGAAACGAGAAGTGCCGCCCCCGCAGCTCAGGCGGATGGAGGCTTCTAGAACCTTCTAGATAGTTCCACGGCCGCCCTACATCTGCCTTCTTGTATTACATACTGAATCTATGTTAAGCTGAGCCTGTCTCTGATTGGCTGAAACTCTACACCTATCATATCTGATACAGTTACAATACCGTATCATAGCATACAAGTTTAGCATGTCAATTTGTCTTCATCTTCGTCAACCTACGTGCATAATATTATTTGTGCAAAGGAAGCTTTATTATAAAAGTGTTGTAGCTGAGCACTCAAAGGATACAAAACTGATACTATTAATAGTATGACAGATTACAAAATCGCTGGATTATCACGTCCATTGGTATCACCGGATGGATTCTGGATATAATCCAGAGAACAGTTCGGTGCAAGATTTTTGTTTGTTTGGGAGATGCCATACATCAAAAGAATTTCGAGATTCTCTACAGTACTATTTTTTCTTCTCTTGTGACACCTCCTTTATTGTTTTAAGCAAGAAACCGACAAATGCACGCAAGATCGAGCTAAACTAAACTCTTAAATTTGCCTTTCCATTCTATTGTAAAAATGGATACGCAAGTTTAAGTGTATTCTCAAGGTTATGGTCGTTAAGGGGGACCTTAGACTCGCCGAATTCAGCAGAATTGAGAGCGGCGCGGGCGTCGTCCGTAAGTTGTTCCCACACGATGAGATCCTGAAATTTGCCATCAACTTCCGAAAATGTTAGCGCCAGCCACTCAAAGCTGTCCCAATACGTGGTAGAAATCCTGGTGGATACGTTGGAGCCGCCAACATAGGTGTAGTTCCATCTGCGGCGGCTGATTCGATTTTGGGCAATTTGTTGGGTACCTACAAAACCCATTGGAGGTATGTTGGTTTGCTTGAAGTACGCATCTCGCCGTTCTGCCATCGTTAAAGTAGCCATCCATTGCCGCTTCTGAAGCTGATGCGACAACGATGCACCAAGGATTTTCGGTGTTTCTACATGTAGTGCTGGATTGTCAAGCCAAAGCACCATACTCGCCCAGTAGTGGCGGTCCTTTGCGTCGAAATCCCAGAAGCTTTTAGGAAAATACCATGCAAACACCATGGCCCATTTGTCTTGATACCACGTCGATCGTCCGCACACTTGAGACCCCAGAGGGGCTTCTGAGCAGCCTTCTGTGCCTTTTGTTACCTTGAGCCCCCCACTGGTCTCGCCCGCAGCATTTACAGCTGGAAACGATACACGACCCTGTGTAATATAAAGCTGCGGCTTGAACTTGACTGCAGCCCTTTCGGCTATCGTGACTGGGACAGGCTGAGCGAATGGTTGTACTTGATCATGGTTAATCGTCCCGGCACGAGTAGAGGAGAGAAGCGCGAAGCACTGCACCAGGAGCACAACGAGATTCATCGCTAGAATAGAGAGATTTTTAGAACAGTGGCGACACGATAAATTGGAAAGTAAGGCTCGATGTGAAGCAACAATAATGTATGTAGAGGGAGTATACATCAAAAATATAACTTGATTAGATTACGCTGAATAAAATGATAATCATAATGTTAAGAATTATATTTAAATAAATCATATTATTAATATTTTAGTTTTATATTCTACTAAAGTATTTAGGCGCTAATGTCCATAACAAGCCAGTTTTCATCAAGTCCAGGGTACGTTTGTCGTATTTTAGCTTCAACACCTAGAGTTTTTCTCTATTTTATAAAAGTTTTTTTTTTAACTAAAGTGTAAAAATACCGTTACTGCTAAATATTGCCTCAGCGAAATTGATACTTACAAATACAGTGTAAGCGATCACATCAGGATTCGTTCTGTGCGAACGTTAGCCGGTATTTTCTAACTAAGGTATGCTTTAATATTACTACTGTATTACCGAACTGTGCCATAACCACTACCGGCTTAAAAATCATTAGTTGTTGGACTAGCGCGACCTATGGACTAGCGCGACCTATGGAGCAGCGATTTTATGGATAAATTTATAAGAAAATGACAAATAGATTACCAATGGTGCTCCAATACTTAGAGAAAGTGACTGGATCACGAAGTTCCAGCGAAATGTATTTTTGAGCCACCTGATGTGACCCTTTTTCTGATAATTGTTGTTAAGTCCAGCGAATCTGATTAAGAAATCCTGTGTTCAAAACTAGAAGGATAGATCAAAACAAAAATACTACTGTAATGATTTACATATTGAAATTGATGTTCTTGGGGCTCTATAATTCCGAGAAGCCCAGAAGGCAAATGACACATGAGCACTCCAGTGGGTTCCTATCAGCGTATCGTGCTAACGTTGGTGCACGCTACCAAGAATACTTTGTCAGCCAATGTCATTCCAGACCTATGCGATTCCATGGCTTACACAGCTAGTGGTCATGTTAGCGGGCTTGTGAATAAATCTCACAAGAAATCAGATATTAATAATATAACTGATTACAGGTCCTCTTGTGTTGATCTAAGCATTTTTCCTTGAATCTGGAAATGGTGTGGCGTAATCCAGAATGAACAAAGATGCAGCACTTTGCCAAATTAAAAGGGATTGCAGGGCATATTTGCACAGACGAGACAGATGAAGAGTCAGATTTAATGGATAATCCGAAATGGTGCTCGTTTTAGTCTGGTAATTATTAATTACACCCTTTCGTGCGTCACTTAACTAAGCTATACCATACAAATTCAAGTAAATGGAATGCGAAAGGGCTGGGAGCGCCCTTTTTTAAATTCACGGTACATTAACCAACTCACGACGTCACAACTAATGTATTTTTCTACAGAGCTTGTAAAATGGCGCTGAATGCGACCTTTTATCACAATTTTGTTCCTGACCGCAGTGACTGCTGATTGGCTACGAATCTTATTTTGTATGTGACCAGATAAACTAACAACGGATAGACCAAAATAACTGGTACATTGTTCAAAAAAATGGAAGCAATGAATATTACCTTCATTTAGTGGTTTTTATCACCCTGCGCCATTGCGTCACCCACGCCAACCAACGTGTCGCGTGGTGGCGTCAACAAGCTCGACAGCAATCGCACGGTATGTGCTGTAACTGTGCAAGTAGCAAGGCAAATAGCAGGTCAGGCTTGTCCAGCGTCAGTACGTATTTTGCAGAATTCTTACCCACGAAAACGCTGTGAGAGACAATATCGGCCTTCGGGAAGTATAAGTGAAGAGATTTGTTTAAGCCTTCACAGAACTTTGCATTTTCGCGACAGTTAGTATTCGTATTGTTGCCCTGGAATCTAACTAGGTGGGATGAGAACGCATTTCAACATGTGCATGTATTTTGAAGTTTGTAAATGAATATCGTGCTATTAATACTTTCATTTTTCTCGATAACGGCTCAATTTGTTTTTACAAATAATCACATGTTATAACTCTATTTAATCAGATTGTATAGATATTGACGTTAGTAAAGGAAATTGAGTACAAATTGAATATGACATGGACGGCTCCCATTCACCGCTGATTTTACTAGCTTCATTCGTAAATGGAACGCGACACGATGACAGTGACTTCTGGAGCGCGGAAGCACGTTAACGCTCAGGCTTACGGCGAAATCAAGCGCCGACGAGTTGCAAGGGTGCTTTCGTCAGATAGCCAGCCAGCTGATAGTACTGTGTCAAGCGCATTGGGCGGCATTGTCGAGTTCAGGCGCGCATGGAGCAAGTTTCGTAAAGAGGGATGGACAGCTAAGCCGCCAAGGCAAGGCTTGACCGATCGCTATCGCTACATTCGACACGGGAGCCCAATGGAGTAGAAGGAGTCGATGTTTTTACTGCCGAAGAAGCTGTACTTCGACTCGTCGGTTCAGGTGCTGATACAGCCTCCCGCGAGCTTACGCCGGGTACGCCTAAACCGACTAGCATCTATCACGACTAGTACTAACCCTGTTTGTGTAATTTCACGTGCGATGCGCTCCCACAGGGGCCGTGGGTGCCGATGCTGGTGAACATGGACGCGGCCACGGATCTGGTGGTCGAGGACGTGGTGCACGTCGCTGTGTACAAGGACGTGACCAGGGACGTCGCGCTGTACAAGAGCTGGGCGGTTCCTTTGGTAGTTTTGAAGCGGAGAGGTTGAGTGCCGCTCGAATGGTGCAGACTTACCACGGTTTGATTAATGTCTTTACTTGGTTGGAAAGGTCTTCAACAATGGTGAGAACGCTGCCGCCTCTACTGCAACTGATCTACGTGGGCAAGCTGGTGGCAATTTCACCCAAGAAGGAGACATGGATAAAATATGCCGCGTTTAAGGTGATTGGTACCGCTTACATTATGTGCCGTGTGTGTCGACGGATGCGGAAAGGCAACAAGGCTCGCTTTTTCAAGTACGTTGGATCGATTTGCAGTACCAATATGCTACTAAATATCTTAGTGTGGGTAAAGTTCAAGATGGTATCGAGAACGATCGCGCCCTCTTGCAAGTAAGAACGCCGGACTAGCAAATACTGACGCAACTGGACAGTGACGGTGATATGGGAATTGAAGATGTTGTAAACCTGGAAGAGGGTGAAGTGTAAGAGGAGTAGAGTTAGCACCACTAGTTTGGAAGAAGTGGGGCGATTAAGAACATGAGATTGAATCCGCCTGGACACACAGAAGGACTCAAGGATTTGCTTCCGCACTCGAATGGTTCTTTTATGACTCGCCTTCGGCCTGAATACGAGCACATGTTTGACCATTCGGCAAGCTCGTTGTGGTGCTGGCGACGTTCTGTCAAGCTGAAGCTCGCTGAAAGTGACAGCGTGCTGTCACCTCACTTCTTCAAGCAGCACATGCATTCACTCCACTCGAGCATCATCAGCTGATGCTCCGGTGCCAACTGCCATGGTCGCCACTACATGTTGTGTATGAAGGCGGCAAGAAATTCAAGCCTGCGTGCCATGGACACGCAAGTTGCTGATGCTCAAGGAAGGAGCGAGCATCATTATGAACATCATCGGAGGTCCTGCTACAAAGGACCGCAGTGAACGACTAAGGAGTCTCCTAGGAGACCAACAGTAAGTTCTAACTCTTTAATATATCTCACTTTCCAATTCACCTTCCCGAGCCCAAGTCCCCGGTCTCGTGATACTCGTGTTTCTTTGCGTACGTCCCTCTCTATATCGGGAGACAAGTTCTACATGACTCGAATGAGTACGCTATTGCAAAGAGCATTAGGACGCAAGTCCGTTTACACTACCGGAATTTCATAACGTTCGTTGTAGCCCTATTCTACATGGCATTGAGTAACAAGGGAGAGCTCTCAAACTATTGAGAAGAGCAGCCTCAAGACCGAATTTTCGCCAAATTGATGTAAACGACTTAGGCGGTGCCTCAGCTTCAACGCAAAACCATCAAAATTTGCGGACGACACTGCTGCACGCATCCGGCCGCTGCTCAAACTGCAGAAAGTAATGGGAGATAAATAAGTGGTGGTGGGCCGCAATGTTGCGCTTGATGAGGCCAGTGTGGCGTGCCGCTCACTCCAAGGTAGACAAATGATCGTGATCAGCCCTATGAAGCAAACGGGTAAATACCACTTTCGTTTGTACATGCTGTGTTGTTCGTCAAGCTGCCGAAGTCTTGCAGGAGCAACACTGCGTTGCTTCTGTTTCAGTGCTTGTTCACGGGATTCGTCATTTTCAAGGCTATGTCGGATACGACTGCGCTGAGTGTGGCTCAAATGCTCGAGGAATGTGTGCCGACCGAAGATGTGTTTAATACCAGACGCGACTGATGCGTCAAGAATATATTATGACAAAGCGTTGTTGCCTGAAGACAGCGAAGAGCCAGAACAAGCTGCTGGCAAAAATGAAGTCAAGGTCATTCTTGACGATCGAACACCGCTGTCAAAGGGCACGGAGCGTACCGTACGCGAGTTCAAATTCAAGTGGGTCGGCTACGAAGATCCAACTTGGGAGCCAGCATCCAACTTGTCGTGTGGGGGTCTGCCGTACCATTAACTGCGAGCCAAGAAGAGCGAGAGCCGGCTGCAGATGGTGCAAGTTGCGGACGAAGCCTAGCGCGGCTGGATCACGTGTGAACGGTCCACAAGGCGATGCAGTCTGTATTAGCAGATGAAACAAGCTACTGCAACAACAATTTGTGTATGCTTTTGAAATGGATTAAAAATAAGAAGATACGAAGCCGACAAAATTGCGACCGCTGAAAACGAGCTCTCGCTGGACCCCTCAACAGTTTGCTGGATCGCCGAAAAAACATGATGGGACATGCAGTGAGGATTCAAATCGACACCAATCGCTAGGCCGCAGCGGCCAAGAGTGTCAATGAAGTTGAGTCCTCACCCTCCTTCTCCTCTCCATCAGGAAGCAGAGACTCGGCGGTTGGAGCTACATCTGGAGCCTGCGAGCCCACGAAACAAGACTCAGCAGGCGTAGCAGTCGGAATAGG